CTTTCCATATTTCTGTTATGATATTCAAAAGAAGTCACAGAATTGTTTCACATTTCTTGCAAGAATACCAGTGGTAGTGATGTAACCTAGGTATAGCCATGTATACTCGTATGTTAGATATAATGTTTCTTAGATTATCATTTTTTCGTAGCGCTAAGGCTTAGCGACACTTTCGTCAGACGTTGACAGATTGTTTACCTACAAACAGGGTGACCAAATACAGACAAGAACACAGTATATATTACTGATTTTGAATCATTATAGTTAAATATTATATATTGCTTAAATTACTGGACTGACCGAAAAAGCAACGCCAACGGAACATCTGAATACGATCATTTAATTATTTTATATAGATATATGCATAATACGACTACAGTACATTTAACAACGTCGCGCCCCATAAAATTAATCATTAAAAGTTTTTTTGCTTGCTTCTATTATTTGTTTCTTTTAGTAAATAAAATAATATATATAAAAGTTCCAAATATATATATTTTTATTTATTTACTTCACTTGTTTATAATAATTTATCAATTTTAAGTCAGTACCAACCTTAATACATATAAGAATTTGAAAGTGCTTACCATTGTATATATCTATTTATGACAGCAAATATGCATTTTACTTACAATAAAGTTTAATACACTATTATTAGTTTGTAGTCTATTTTGGTTACCCTACAGAGCGCGTGGGATTGATCGCAGAATTACGTGCCCAATATCGGTCTTAAATGATAGATCACCATTTTAGGATACATTAATTCTTAAATCTCATAAAGCTTCCGCTATCAACAACATCTTTCCGTCCATGTTTTGTAGCAAACGATCATTCTGACAAAAAAAACGAAAAAATGTAATACGTAAACATAACTATTCACTATTTTTTCAGTCACTAAGTGCTAAATCTAGAAGGTTTTTATTTGAATCAAAAACCAATTTATTATAGTGTTAGATTTGTCATTTGATGATTTTGTGGAAAAATGCTCAGTTTACTCCGGAATTAACTATGCTTAAACTTCTTTTTTTCTATAATTTAGGTAATTATTTTAAGCGTCTGCTTGTTGTATATATACATATATATGTAACATGAGAGGATCATATCATGTCTTCCCTTACAACAAATTTATCTATAGTTTAATTATTGTTTCTCATTATAAGGCCGCCAACACACTTCTAAGTATATATTCGTAAATAAATACATGAGTAAAATTTGCGTAATTAACTTGTGATAATAGTTTATAGAAAGCATTATGATTCATTATTATAAGAATGTGTGCAATTCATATATCGTAAAGTACGTATGTTACTTTACTTCAAAAATATGTGCGGATGTGAATGAAGCCTTATGAAAGTTAATTTGCTGATAATACAAAAACCTTGTATAGAAACAAATGACATATTAAAAAGAAAGATGCATTGTCCAGGTATGGAATAGTTGTAGTTGAACAAATCAGGAAACCAACTCAAGGTGAGCCTGGGTAGCGTGTATACGATTATTATGCAAATGAATATTTGATTAATTAATTACTTTAGAATATTGAAAGTAGTTTATTGAGTTGACATCTATGCGTTCGTATATATAAGCACATACATATGTATACACTTCACCTAGGAAGAGTTTGTAGATACTAAATTAAAATTATTAATTTGATGAAAATCTATTGCTTCACTCTACTGCCGTAGTCGCGGGTTTGATTCTTTATTTGGGTTTAAATAACGCTGTGAAGAATTATCATAGATTATTAATTCTTTACTATCGGCTAAAAAATAATCTGGTGAATACATACGTATAATCTAATCTTGAAGTGATGGCGATGATATAGTATTACGTACCTAAGCAAGGCCACTTGGTTGATATTTTATGCAGAAAATTACATAACAATTTCACTTAATGACAGCATAATTCGGAAATCCGTACTGCTTACGGAATAATGTATTATTAAGCATACTAAGTAATAACATAAGTATATAGAATATTTGTCTGTACATCCCGCAAGGATGTGGCTTCATCATCATAATAGTTTAAACACCGTTTCTATAAGCAGGGTTATCTTTTATTATTTTTTAAAAATTAAAACCAATAGTTAAAACATTTCATAGCTGAAGTATTAAACATTTATATGAAAGCTAATAAAATGAATTGCCAAATCTTTTCAGTAATGAAGTTACGTCTATTTTAAAACTACTCCAAAAATTAATATAATTAAAGAAATAATTTATCTGTTACTTACCACTTCCTTATCTACTAACTTGTTCGCGTCTAAGGTTACCATATTATTCTTCTTGTGTCAGAGATTCTACTGACTGCTAAACTGCAAGTGTCAATATACACATACAACCAGTATTTAAATGTAGGTGTAAGCTAAATGTAATTCGCTTTTATTGTGTGAACATATTTAAGGTAAAAATATAATAATCACAATTTAAGATTAAACTATAAATCTATGGCGGTAGTAATAACGATCGAAAACAACGATAGGCTAACAATGTCTAAGATAAACAAACAAGAGAGTTAATGGAAATCCTCAACCCAATTTTAGCAAATAATTGGCTAGACCCACCTGGTTTAGGCAACAAAGACCCGGCCCGATATTGTTCACCAAAGGTTTTATTAGGCCAATGTTACATCTCATCGCAAATTAACACAACGGACCACAATATTATCTTGAACATGACCGACGCTTCTGTCCGAACGCCCTACACCTTAATAGGTAATTCTCTCCCAATAGTTATTCTGTAAGTGGTGAATTGACAGTAATTGATTTGTTTTTCCCAACTCCCAGAACACGAATCTTTAGCCACGAAACGCAACTTTATGTTATATTTCTACTTGCTTGTTTCCTTTCGGGCATTGGCTATAATTGGATTTTGTCAATCGTACGTAACTTTACTAGATTTCTCTATGGATGGAACGATGCTATTACGGAATATCAAAAGGTCATCAAATCCTATTCATATTACTGTTTCCTATACTATGACCCCTAATTTTATAAATATGGCCTAGAAATATTGCCGGTCACCACATTGCCTTTCCAGCCTTTCAACTATATCCAACAAAGGCTTAATAGTGGTTTCGATATTTATTATTTCAAACAACAAAACGGGAATCCATCGATTATTGCGACCCTTTTCTGTTTTAGGTCTACCGCTGAGCCTTTGTTTTTCATCGGTTGTGTTTAGCGGTAGGCGTTTATTAGGAAATTGGAAGTGTGCGACACAAAGGGTCTTAAATTAAATCAACTGGCCCAATATTCCCTGTAGTGCTTTGTAAGCCCCAAAGAGAAGGTGTAACTCGTTATTCTAGGCACCGCCCCCAATCGTATATATTCGTAACTATATATACTAAGTACTTTTTATTATGTGGTCAAAACGAATTATTCTTGTCTGATTTGGTCGGTATTAATCAATACTTTCACCATTTAGAAACAATCTCTTATGTGTATTCAACTGTACAGTTAGTAGTAAGTAAATATTAATTATATTGTTTTTTTGTAAGTTATTTGTAAAAAGGAATATTTCAAAGTTATACCCTTGATATCAATGAAAACGTTTAGATGCTTACTATGCATTTTTTTTAGATAGATCTATGTTCGGCATTCAAATATATTTTTTCAGCTAAATGTTATCCAAATCGAAAACATGAATGTACCTAATAACCAGACACAGTTTTGTATTATAATATTAGTAAAGTTTTAGTATATTGTTTCATAAACGGTTTAAATTAATTATAAATAAATTTATATCCCCAAAACATCGAATGTGAGAATTTTATGTATGTGTTTAACTTCTGACTATTATTTTAAAATTGAACTGCTGCTGTAAATGTTTTTTTTTTTATTACAAAATCCAAACAAAATCACAAAAACAATAAATATTACATATGTACATCTATTTACTATAATCTAGTCTTGATAATGTGGTACGTACCGACTTCTCATCTATAGTACCTGTATATTCAACTTGTGTATGCAAGATTATTTTAAAATCATTTGAGGTTGTAATAATACCATGTTATCTTTGTAATACAAGTTCGTTAACTTCATCTATCAAGTTATTTCTGATACACTTTAACCCTTTGGTATCAGAAGTACCTACCTCATCGTGACCATGACTTATACTGTGACCTTATAGAGTTTGACTTAATTTTATGGAGCCTGAAATTTGAAATTCCTTAAATGTAATTCAAATAAGCGTCTATTACTAAGTAATGTACAACTTACCAATTAATTGCTATTTCATATTATTAGTCTTATATTCTTGCTATTAAATATGAAAGATTTTATGTATACATAATAGTACATAATTTTATGTATACATAGTATACATAAATTAAAAATGTCACTGTTGGGTGTTTGTACATGAGACAACCAACCAACCAACCGCATGAGAAAAACTGTTATTGAGGGATCAACATAATGAACTCCAGAACAATTATTGTTACAATTGTTTTCTATTTATTTTGAGTGTTTGTGCGCACTAATCTCAGAAACGACTTATCCAAATTGTTTGCGATTTTCATTAATGTATAGTGGTAGGCTTCACTTTATTGTATTTTATTCTTACATTTAAAAATATTATGGTAATAAAAATAAGCTAGAATTAATTAGTCGTCATTTCTAGCCTTATTAATAAATTAATAAAAGTAAAGTCACTCATAATTTGAAATTTAACTAAAAACTAAGCAACGAATCTGACATATGGTAGTGGTAAATTAGAAAAATTCTTCATTCTATATTTTCATATTATGCAAAATATAGAGTCCATTAACTAAATCTTGTTTAATTATGTATACAGTGAGCATTTACTAAATTATCGGATAACGGATTATCCACACGCTACACCTTTTATCGAATGCATAAACAGCATACTTTGTTGACTATTCACATGTGTTCTGAAAACTTCAAAGAATTTAATTAATTTATCTTTTTGTAGAACAAATAATTTCAACGTATTTTAATATTTAATATCATTAAAATAAGACTTATTATTTGTTCACAGATATATTGAACCATGTCCTCACCATCTAAACAGCGATTTAAAAAGTACACCTGGTATAAACGGATCTTACATAAAAGACTACCTGTCACAAAATGGATGCCAGAGTACAACTCAGAGAAAGCCCTTGCTGACTTAATTGCTGGTGTCACAGTTGGGCTCACAGTTATACCTCAAGCTTTAGCGTATGCCTCGCTAGCTGGATTGAACCCTCAGGTTTAGTAGAAAACGTTATATGTATTATGACGACCTAGGCTCACCGCTTTATTTTTCGATGGTCGCGAGTTAGATTCCTCGCATTCTACAAACATTTCTATTCATTGGTATGATTGTTTGTACCCATAACACAGGCTATGCTATTACTTGGCGTGGGTACTTCTTTCTGACGTTCTTTTACATGTGGAAAAATTTCAAATGACTGTTCATTCATCAGAGCAGGGGTAAACAGTAGTATTCTACTGCTGCTAGAAGATAGTATGAATTGCTACATGAAAGGAATATTTTGAATATCCTTCAAATGAAATCATGACTTCTATTTTTAAATAATTGATTATTCTGTAGTTGCAAATGAATGAAAAGCTGTAAACTAAACGTAATTACATGTCGAGGCAGAAATAAATAAGTATACTGTAATGTACTAATCTACATTAACATCAATATGGACTAGTTCGTAGTAATATTTTTTTTAAATACTTAAATTTTAAAGTATATATATGTTATACAATAATTAAACATATTACATGCATATTATATATATAAACATTTCCTTTACATATAATGTAGTATAGTACTTAATTAATTGCGTTACAAACAATTCCATAACTGCCGATTTACTTTCGTAAATGATAAATATAGCGTCTGTTAGAAAAATGTAGAAGCAAACAAAATGTCTTATGTAGTTTCACGTATGAGTCATCAATTATCGATATTTCTCTTTATCTCTCAGTCTGATACATTACATTAATTCTGACCGCGTTATTTTTACGCCAGAGTGGCATGTTCTATTTCAATACAGAGAGTATTTACTTGTGTTTGTAATTTATATTGTGTACGAATACTTATCAGTGGAGAAAATGGGTTGTTAGTAATGGGACAAGTGACCTCTTTTCAAACAAGGAGGTCATTAACAGATCGTCCTCCACAAGGAAGCCGTCGTGGTATATGCTGGTGAATTTGTCACAATGGGATACTAAACCTGAAGTTCCTCTTTCCTATCCTCCACTGATACCCAGCGTATACCGATACAATACTCCACTAAAATATTAAAATTATTATATGGTTTTCATTTGAAGTCGCCTATTTGACCGGCATAGTCCCAGTTGATTCATATATGTCACGTATTGATCAACTGAGATAAAAAGTAAGTAGCTTCTCTATGCAAAGTACCAACTACATACATAAGCTTTAAAATTAAAGCAAGAACATAATTGAGTAATTCCATAAATAATTTCATGTAATTAGTTCGAACTAGTCAAATTATTATATTAAAATATTATGTTATTCTAATAGAGATATTCGGCAAGGAGGAATACTGATAAAAAAATAACGTACACACGAACAACATGTTTCAAAAATGCGTATTATTAAAGGCGAGTCTCCAAATTCAACCTACCGGAAATCAAACAAACGTAAATACAAAGAAACTAGGGACCGTGGGTATTCATAGTTATACTATTTACCTATAACTATGATAGCAAATTTCTATTACAGCCCTCAGCTTGTTTGCCATTCTAAATCGTATAAAACAGTGTTTCCCAACATGGGGCCCACGCCCTCATTTGAATGATAATAATAGTCATTTTCGAATTGCACTAATTAGATTGGAAAATGCACTCTCTGTTACAATTATCCGAGATATTTATTTAAATATTTCATTACAATTCAATTTCATTCAAGTTTTGAAAATTTACCTAAAACCTATTATTTTTTCTTAAGTAAAGTTCTTTAACAATTCATTATTTTAATGTTATAAATTATGTATGGCATAAGAATTTGATAAAACTTAAGGTGGGGCATGACACTGAAATGGTTTGAAAACACTGATACAAAATAATACGTAGGTACGTAATTTAATATTCTGCTCTTTTCCAGGATGGCCTATACTCTTCTTTTATGGGCTGTTTTGTGTACATTATATTCGGATCGTGCAAAGACATAACGCTCGGTCCCACAGCTCTCTTAGCGCTCATGACGTATGAACAAATACAAGGCAGGAATGCAGACTATGCCGTTCTCCTGTGTTTTCTCACTGGTGTAGTGCAACTTATAATGGGAATGTTGCATTTAGGTAAGTTTATAATTTGCGAGTAACTCGTTACGACTTTGACTACATATTCATACTGAATAATGTACTTTTCAAGTAATAATAGAATATTTTAAGTAGCTACAGTAATTTTGAAATTTACGATGTCATTAAATTTGCATTCTTTATAATATCAGTATGCATCATGTAATTATTGTATTATGACTATATATTTTTTTAATGTCATCTCTACCATTTGTGACTGTGTGCCTTTCTTGCCTAAAGAATACTTTTATACAATACTACAGTAATAAATATGGTACATGGTATGGTATGGTACAACACAAAATTGGTATTTAATTTTACTAAGCTTAAAAAGAGAAAGTAATTTATAACGCAAAGAGTATGACAATTCAAATATTGCAATATAATTCATAGAATGATATGTGAAAAGAAATAAAATCACTCAGTCGTTTAAATCAGTCCTCAGAAACAAACATTATATTTACAAAAAAAAACTACGACTGTTATAAAATCTTAAAGTATTGAACATATTAGAAGATGATCTTTATGATTAACATCATAAAATTCTTGTATGAAAATAACATTGACCTATTAACACGTATATGACTCATTGAAAACATAACTATATCTATTACGTCAATGCTAGATAAATTTTGATAACAGAGTCTGTGTGAAAATCACATATTTTGTTATCAAAATTTATCTACAGTAATGATAAAGTTTCGATTATTGGATATATATTAACTGAATCTGAAACATTAAATGTATTTGACAATATTTATTATTGACGTCCGTTTTAACATAAACACATATACTTATAAAAATAAAAATACTTTTTTACACAAATTACGTCACACGTTAAAAGGGGGAGGGTGTGACAAAATGTGACAAGAGATTGAATTAATTTCAGACTTCTTTTGAAAATAATGAAATCTAGCATACCACCTTTCTGGGTAGGGTCGTAGACATAAGATTTCAATGTTAATAATAACACGAAATTTTAAGTATTATGTGACCTGCTGTAAAGGGAGGAGAGAGAACAATTCCCGAAATTGGTGTGACATAATTTATTATTGGCCCCATATGAATACTTAATTTTAACTCGGATTTCATTATCTTAAATATCAGGATTTTAACCTCTATTTATTTTGTTCTTAGTGTGTAGCACATCTGGTGATCATCGTACGAAAACATGTATACACAATATAAACATATTGAAACGAATAAACACCAGTCAGTTACTGCTTTGAATCGTCTTCCAAAGGGAGTTTATTAATGTTGTTGTATTTTTTCCAATCCAAATTTGATTGGATATTACATGTTATCGTCTTCGTCTTGAACTGATTTTAATTACCCTTTTTTTCAACATCATGTATATCTAAAATACCAATTTTAATTATACTATCCTATCGATTACACTATCGGACAAAATATTATCTGATGTGTTCATGACCAGACCACATCACGATGACAAGTACATACCTACATATATTTCCTTATATAACTTTATTATGATTGGTAAAGCTGTTATGAGGAGAATTAATAAGAAATAATGAAATTTATTTTAGTGTCTTGTGATTGCCCAATCATCTACGTTTCATATATAGCTTAAATATGATCAACGCCATGCATTGGAGTCAGACAAAATTATAGGTATCCTGTCTCTCCTCCGGGCAGTTATTACACACTTTAATGCTCTACAAGTCTATTCATAATATTGACTAATAATAATACGAATGAATTTTATTCTGTTTTAAATTTGACTTTTTTTGTTATACAGGAGTTCTAATAGACTTCATATCAGTCCCGGTGACCGTAGGCTTCACGTCAGCAACATCTGTAATCATCGCTGTATCACAATTAAAAGGATTATTGGGACTAAAATTCAAATCTGGTGGATTTTTAGATACAATAGCCAAGGTATGCATTTGAACTAAAAATAAGTAGGTATACTTTATTTATGACTTTGTCACGCTACAACAACAATTTTACATTTTTTTATATTAAGGTAATAAATATTTCATGCGCAGTTATTCACATTTTGTTACACGTGATAGATATTGTAATTGGATATAGTAGTTGCCACATGTTATATTTATATCTTATTTATTAATTTATTGATATGTCACGTTAGAAGTCAATTAAAAAATAAAAACCAAGTGAGAATAATATTACGAGAGTACCTAATATGAGATTACAAAACCAACAGACTAATAATAACTCAACGTTTAGTTATAAATCTGTTTGTCACTGTTTAATTGGTATATTAAATAATCTTATAGTGTCTTTTTATCATAATTATTCGTTCATAAACACAATAAAATTAGAATTAATAATATTCAATAATACATTAACCGTTCAATAAAGAAGTTTAGCGATCTGTTAATATTCAATATTTATGAATTATTGCATTAAATGTGTTCTGACGTATCAGTGACCTATTACAATATTAATCATGGAATAAATTTGATTAAATACCATTAAAAATATTTCTTTTATAGCTAAAATATATTTGGAAGTATAATTTCCTATACTATAGTGATGACAAGGCAACCTACGGCCATCCAATGGTAAAATGTTACCGTAGCTTATAGTCGCCTGAAACACCAGGAGTATCAACTGGACATTGCCAGTCCTTAAGAAATCCTTCTAGAAATGCTCCGTGCTGTTGTCTCTAAAGAAGACCTCAGCAGACAGTTCATTCCACAATCTGAGTGTAAACGTGAAACTCATCTGAAACCACACTATCCGTAATCAGTTAGATTCTACGGTGTATAAATGTATTCCTTTTCAATGACAAGCGGAAGTTTTTGGTGTTAGAATATTATTATGTATCATTAACGTAATTACTTCACTATGGAAACACTTCAGTAATTATTCATTAATAACTCTAAACTCTTTACCATATTGAGCCTTAGAGAATTTAAGCAAACATCCCAAAAGTCTAATGATAAGAAAAGAAAGAATGTAGTGAATTTAATATATTTTGGTGGTTAACTCTTACACTGTGTTTTTTATATTTCAGGTGATTGTAAATATACCAAATGCGAAATTAGCTGACACCGTTTTAGGTTTATCGTGTATAATTATTCTACTGCTTATGCGTGTAAGTATAAGTCTGTACATATAAAAATATTGATTTTTCTATACTATTGTTATGGGATACGAACGACTTACAACCTCACTCAACTGGGAGGAAGGCGATTGTTAGTAATATGGACTAATAACACCATTCCTAGAAATGTATTATGTCCGATTGACTCAACGCGAGACCCCTTGGAAACCATCGTAATTGCCATTTTGTCAAGATGGGCTAACTGACCTGACTTCATGATCCATAAAAAAACTTCTTAACTCACCGTGGAACTCGTACATATATTTCTGTACCACTTTTTCTTCTAAGATATTTATATGATTATTTTTTTGTTCCAATAAAAAAATACAATAAAATGTATTTGTTTTCTTTTACAGAAATTAAAAGACTTAAATGTACCTCCGAGCCAGAAAGTTTTAAAAAAAAGTCTGTGGTTATTATCGACATCTAGAAATGCCATCATAGTTGTGCTATGCTCCTTGATGGCATTTATGTTTGATATATATTCTATGTCGCCATTTAATCTTAATGGTCTTGTAAGGTAAGAATTACATTTTACCTAACAGATAATAACCTAAAAATTAATTATTAGATAGTCTCAGTACTATAAGTTATTATTTAAATGATACCCCCTTACGTAATAAAATATCTTGTTTTTGTATGTCTCAATACATTTGCCAATTATTTTCATTATATATTTTTTTTCTTTTATTTTATAATCTACTAACTGTTGACCCGTCTATATTATCTGATATTTATTATGTCCGTCTTTGTGATATAAACTATCTTTACGTCAAATTTCATTAGGACCTTTAGTAGTAGTAAGTTAATAAAACGACACACACATTTATAATAGTTTCTTACAAAAGGGGAAGAAAATGAATGCCTTTTTCATTTCTCATTACATTACTCTAATTTTTGTAACTCTTTATTCCTTCTACATATTGCACACCATACTTTGGTCCCATTATTATTTTATATATAATTGTTGAAGGTTTTTTTTTAATTTTAATTTTATGCTAATTTATAATCCGTACCTGTATCAACCTAATAATTTTGAATGTTAAAATTATTATTCTTAATTGTCTATTGCCACTTGGGACATTACTTGTCACTACTGCATTTGTGAACGATGAAGGGTCATGAAGGACATAGTTCCATTAACGCAGGTGCAGATATTGTAATAAATAAAAACAACTTCTTTCTTTCAGAGAAGGTCTTCCAAGTTGGAACATGCCACCATTCACTACGTGGCATGAAGGAAGAGAGGTGTCTTTTGTTGAAATGTGTTCAAATCTTGGCTCGTCCATAGTTTTAGTTCCTATTATAGGTGTATTGGGTAATGTGGCGATTGCTAAAGCATTTGGTAAGTACAGTAATAAATATATTAAACGAAGCTTTTAAAAATATTCCTTCACTTATTTATATTTTTTATGTCTATTGCTCTTACATTTGAGATTAAAAATACGAGTATACGTAGGTGAAAAAATTAATTTAATTAAATTGTAACAGTGCATGATTGTTTTTTTGTAATATGTTTTTATATATTTTTCCATTCTCTTCTGTATCTATACCTTTAACACTTGAAAACTGTGCGTTTAATATTAGTTATTAATAGAAAAGTAGTTTATAATAATTATTATAAGTAAAATACAAACCTTTACACTTCAATCATAGGATTAATTATATTTTAGGCACTTTATGGCTCACAAAAATTAAATCTCTCTTACAATTAAATTTTTTCTTCAGCTAGTGGAGAATCAGTGGACGCAACACAAGAACTGTTTACACTATCTCTCTCTAACATATTGGGTTCATTCGTAGGCGCTATGCCTATCACTGGCTCATTCTCTCGCAGCGCGGTGAACCATGCTAGTGGTGTTGCTACACAATTTGGGAGCCTCTATACTGGTAAGTTAATCTACAAATAAAAATATGAAGTTGTAATATGCCCACGTCAATATCTTAGCCGTTCTAAGTCGCTTTTATATTTAACATACAATATTGTCCTGAATCTATCTATATAGTAAAAATTGAAATAGAAAAAAGGAAGAGTTTTTTATCGTTATAATAATGTAATTTGAATAAATTAAAGATATAGTCTTCAATGGCTTGATTAGGTGGAACTTGATGTTAAATTTCTCGACCACATTTTAATGGGGTTCACCCGAAACTATATACCTACCCAATTAAAAATTCCCTAACGCAAAGATACATTTAAAACAATACAAATTAAAAGAATACATTTATTTAAATAGAATATGTCTGAACTATAACTGCCTGAATAATATAAATAAAACTAAAAATTCAGTAAGATGCTTTACATTATTATGGAATTTGGGTCTTGCTAAACAACACTATAACAGAAATTATTTTTTTTTATTACAATCATGTGATTCTGATTAACTAGAGTCTCATGTAATAAAATACTCTTTTATTTTATAGGTATCCTGGTATTACTGGCACTTAGTCTACTGACTCCGTACTTCTACTATATTCCCAAAGCTTCGCTTGCTGCCGTCATAATTTGTGCTGTGATATTTATGATAGAATATGAGGTAAGTTATATATATAATAAAATATCATTGTCCCATTATTTTATATATGTACTGGCCGACCTGGCCAAAATTGTTTTGCAATATAAATTATGTGTAGTTAATTTTCAAGTAAACTATTTTCTTTTATTATTTGTCTGTTTCTTAATTGTCTTCTTTGTCACCACGAAGAAACACGTAATATACGAATACTGCATTTTGTTTTAAGTGTAAAAATTATGCTATTTATTATAATGATTACACTCAGTCGAGCAAAATATTTTCTGCTATATGAAATCAATGTCTTCATAGGATGATTTGTATAATAGATATAAACATAATTTTCATATATGATCCAATTTCTAGGTTATTAGTGACTTATTGCTTTCAGGTTGTGAAACCTATGTGGAGGTCTCGGCGTGCAGACCTTGTACCTGCGTTTGCTACATTTGCCTTGTGTCTTACTGTGGGAGTGGAGTTAGGCATCCTCGCCGGAGTCGCCGTGAATGTCATGTTTCTCTTATACCCCAGTGCAAGGCCACAGCTTGAAGCTGAAATTATTACGGTAACTATTCAGTTTAATTATTTAACGAGCTATTTTTAATGAATTTAAACTCACAGTGTAATACAAAAAATATCATGAACTATATCAATGTATAACACAAATTGTTTTTCGTCACTCATTAGTGTAAAATAAATTATTACTCCTAATGTAAAAATTAAGCCTATTTAATACCATCCATACTAATATTATAAATGTGAAAGTGTGTCTGTCTGTCTGTCTGTTACCTTTTCACTTCTAATGGCTAGAACTAGATAGAGGCTATTTTTTATCAAAAAGAATTAAAGTATATAATATAAAAAATTGAATCTCTAAATATTATTATTTTGTTTCAGAATGCATCAGACTTGAAATATTTACTAGTAACGGTAGGCAATAGCTTATACTTTCCTGGTGTGGAATATATTCGTCAATACGTAGAACGAGCTGCGAAGAAGAAAGGTGGCTGCAGCATGCCAGTGGTCATCGACTGCAGATACGTTCTTGGTATGTCTTATATAAAATTATAATATACCGACTTAAACTGACTAGTCTGCGTAGCTATCTTTGCCTCACCCATTCGAACCTTTAAGCAGTTTAATTTTTTTAAGCATTTTTGGGTTGATGTGTGAGCAATGGCAGTGCAGTTACGGAGAACCGATTCATAATTAATTACAACCCATGACATATACCACAGGCGTTTTACAGGGTGATGTTATTGTAGTGCTATTCATAAATATAGGTTACCAGTGTCCATCGTCAGTTTCTTTGCCAAAAATATAAACCTAAAGTGTATCTGTCTGTATATAATTTATCACAAAGAATGGACATAAACTATCTGTTATCAAAAAAAAGCTTATAACAGCTAGAGTTATACATACGTATGGTTAATTGCTGTGGGATATATATATAAATATGGTATATATACGAGCAGACTCTGTAATTCTAAAAATGACATAATACTTGAAAATGTAATATACATTCTTTGTTGATGTTTATCACAGGTGCTGACTTTACAGCCGCTAAGGGTCTCTGTGCACTATCAAACTCTTTATCGTCTCGTGGTCAACCATTAGTGTTGTTATCACCAAGAGCTAGTGTCGCTTCAGTGTTCAGTGGCGCGGGATCTAGTGTTGTACTCGTACTTACACCCAATGAATTAGACGCCACACTAGAAGGTAACAATGCTTCCTTATACGAATATTGTCAACTAATTGCCGGCCTCGTTTTAGCACACTGCTTTACTTCCGATGGTTGCGAGTTTCGATTCCTTGCACGGTGCAAACATTTCTATTCATGAGTATGATTGTTTGTATGGTGTCGTATCATCGTTTGATCTGGGTGTATTCCATGTATATTAAGTATATAATATGTATACAAAAAAAGTATCTAAGTATTTATATCCGTTGTCTAGTACCCATAACACAAGCTCTACTTACCGTGGGACTAGATAGTGCTGTGTTAATTGGCCAAAGTTATTTATTTATTATTTTAATTGCATCCTCTGGCACTGTCTGACAATAAATAAACTGGACCATTAACTTCATGAACTTAGTAACTATTTAAACACATTGGCTCACGTATTAATCTAATATTTTTAAAATGTATTATATATTGACAAGTTTTTTTTAATAAATGGCACTGTATAATAGTGCCCAGTGGTTTTATTTATATAATCATTAAGAATATACTCGTACATCATTTAATAGGTCTTAGGCACGACCAATTTTTAAAGATATGAAACTAATTTCTTCATAACCTTTGTTGAACTAATAAAAGATCATTGTCATAATTGATTAATATCGCGATATATTTTATCGTTTTAATACGGCTAATTAAACCTAATTAAACGATAAAAAAATCTTAATCGGTAACTTTATCTCTTTGATTGGCCTTATTAATCGTAAAGTAAATTATAACTGGTGTATAATTATGTACTTATTTAGTAAGTTTATGATAACTTCGCTACTACCACACAATATCGTGAGTGTGTGTGTTTTATACGACTGGGAATGGCAAATATACTTACTTTATAGTATATTAACTCAACTACACTCCTTACTTACATACATGTGGGAACATGATCAATCTGGTAACAAATCGCGTCATTCTTTACTTGATATCAAGAAAGCTAAATACTTTCATAGGCTTATTTAAATTTCGAATATCAATGCATAAACAAAAGAAAAATATATCCAATCGGAAAATATTTTTTTTAATGCATGAGAATGACGCTAGGGCACCAGTGTAAGCTGATGTGTTAATGATTAAGTCAGATCAATTAACAGTCGTGGTAAATTCGCCTAGATCACAGTGCCTTATTTGGTCTACTAACTAGTAATATAAATATATTTTTTTCCCCCCTAAAAAGGAGATTGGATAATATTTTTATTCTATGCTTCATATTCTTTCAGATCTCACGAGCCAAATGCCTAGAGTTACGGTACAGACAACAGGAAGTGTTACCCCACCACCTAATTATGATTCTATAAATCAAATAGACGACGAAGTTACAGATATAATTGTATCTAAAGAACAGAACAGTATTCCCTTATTACTTAACAGTAGAGCAAATGACGTAACGAAATCTTACCCCAGCGAAGTGAATGACACGTGATTTGAATGGCGTATCCTCCGGGTATTGTTTTAATATAAATATATATGAAGATTTTTAATGGATTGGGTATTGTCGAGTGAAATAATATGTTATACAAATGGTTATTGAATTTTCGAGAATTTCAATGACAAACTAGGAAATTGTTAATATGACAACGTAAAGAAAAGTTTGAACTATTTCTAGTGTTGTACCTGAACGCAAGTATAGTTATTTTCAGTAATATATATACAAGAACATTTGACATTATTAGTGCACTCGAAAATAAATGTTTAAATATAAAGTAGTTAATTGGAAATCTAAAATATATACCTTATACAGAAATACTATTGTTGATATATGTATACATAATTAATTTGCACCGTTCATACTACAGTTCCTTATACTACGGCAACTACAGTAATTACTTATTATATATTTATTATGTGTAATTTCTAAATGCAGGGTATTTTAATTAATGATACTATCACCCAGTCATATAACGTAGGTATTTGTAAATAATTGAATAACAATAATAATATAGTGTAATTATATGTGGATATTGTTTAACTTTATCCAAATGGCTCGGTAATTCCAAAGAAGCAAAAGCAATTACCTTAATAAACAACAGAGCAATATAAGGCACAAGTTCTTTAAATCTTGTTTCAACATGTCTTCCACATGATAAAAGCGACGCTAGAACAGCTGTCAAATGTTAGTTGATTGCCATCTCGCTCTTGTATATTCTATAAATACGAAACATATAGCTTTACCCGCGTTAGCAAATATTTATATTATTGTGTGTGAGTTTATAGTTTGTAATATATTTGTCATTTTTAAAACTACCTCAGGGTTAACAATATTATTACTTACTATCTTAGATTCTCAAATTCATATTTTTATTCAATTTTATGATTGCTCAGACAGATTATTTTTTTTAGTATATTACAAAATATTAAGTTTATTATATGCAAAGGTATTCCTACTGAGCAACAACAATAACTACCTTTCATATATAATTATATTTACATATTAATATAATAATAGATATCATTGTATAAATGGAACTATATTTTATTTATATATTAAATATGTACGTCATTATTTTTTAAATTTCAACTTACAAATTTCGATACGCTTTTTATTCAAATTATTTTTCAATTTCTATATGTACAAATTATAAGTAGCAAATAAATTTCAATGCATTGTTTTATTAAATTCATTTCTCAATTATAATTAGATTTTAACGCAACGACACTGTTAAATAGATAACTGTACGAATATGTTATATACATGAACATGACATGTTTATGTACGATTGTGTATTCTTTTTATAACTACAAGACTTCTTTAAATTCTTAATATTAAATTCTCGAAGCAATTGATTGGTAGATACTTAATTATTTCATGTAAGTTATTATGTTCTTTTAGTTTTATGTAAATAAGTGTACTATTTTTGTAACATGATGAAAGTGTACTGCATGAATATTTAGTTATATTTCCTATTATTTTAAAGTAGTAGAAAACGAAGTGGTGGTATTGAAAATTACTTTAAAACATAAGCACTAGTTGTGTTGTGACTAAGTTACTACTGCCAGAAATTAATGAGGCTAAACTTTCGTAAGAAATGTACAAAATAGAATTGTATTAGAAATAATATTATAAAACAAGTGCTTCCGTTGACAAAAATAAGACACAGTGCAATTCCTCTTATTGTAACTACAGAGTCATATAGGGTATATCGTGACAAAAGCCTGTAATACCATTAATTAAACTGGAAAAAAATCGTTTAGAAACAAACTAGAATTATTACAATTAATTTTGAACTATCCGTACTAAATTGATCAAATGACTATGCACTTTGTATGGAGGATAAAATATATTTTCATCTTTCGACTTTCTTTCTTGTCAAAAGCAGTTTTAAGAGTATTCTATCTAACTTTCGGTTTAGTATATCCTCTAAGACTAATCCTATATAAATACTGAATTAATTCATTATCTATTTAGTCCAAAGTAAGACATTTACCAGTATGACTATTAATGCTAAACTAGTTATAACGAGTATAACCACCGATGAGAGAAAACTTAACTTATTGAAAGTGGCATCATATTACCTCCATTGTGCATATATGAAATATATACTGTCTGTCTTTACCTTCTATATACAACGCTTAGAAAATCCTGGAAATCCCATTTAAAACATACATTATGTCTAAACATAATGTATATTTTAAATGGGATTTCCAGATAATGTTATTTTAAACATGTAGAATATATGTATAATCTTATTTTTTATATCATATATGTGCACAAAAAGTTAATAATTTACATTGTATAGGTACTTATGTGACTTTTGTTACAGGAATAAAATTAATTTTAAGATTTGTTGCGTGTAATACGTTTAACTTAAATAACAAGTATGAAATTTATAATTATTAATATCTGTATTAATATTAACATAATGTATTTACTAATAGACTTGCAAGAAATGTTAATCATTTAATTGTTTGTTTGAATTTATTAATTGTGTAATACATTTAATATTTTTTTATGTTACCATATCATATCATATCAAAATTCATTCTGCTCCTGTATGGAGAAATTGTATCTTTGCTTGTTTATTTTTATATCAGCTTATGTTATTAAGTATGCAAATTTTATACTATTGTAATGATTTTTTATGTATATTGAATACATACACAAGAAATCTTATTTTCATATTACATCGGTAGGTACTATTTATATAAAAAAGACGAGTGAAACCTAATTGCAATTTATTATATAAATAATTTATAATTTTGTTACCAATATAAAAACTGTCCTATTGTTTATAACCAAAAATATACTGCACATGAATGCATATGAATAAAAATATTTTTTCTTTCATTTCCAATTTATATCTTTATCACTTAGCCCTTTGATAATCCCAAATAAATTCTTCAAAACATTTCTTGATGCCATATTTTCTTTTACCTACTAATAAGCAAATTATTTCAGGAGTAGCAATAAACAAAAAGGTAGCACTGAATAAAAATGTGTGTCAAATTGAATAATAATTTAATTTTCTATGATCTATAAAATTCGTTATAGTTTAAAATTAATATAAATTAAACATTTCATTTATAGTTTCTTAGCACCATATGAACTAAATGTAAAGTTATAAATGCACTTTCTGACTATGAAATAATGAGTATCATATAAATCAGTAGATACTTGATTACAATTATACTTAGCTTAGGTACCTCAACATACCGTTTCCAATCAATTTAATCGTATATTTTTTTATTCAATTACTATAATTAAAATAAATGACATCCTAAATGTACCAAAATTCGTTTCAAATAGATATGTACGTCTCCATAGACACTAACTAATAAATTCATTAAACTATCACCTTAAATAATAATAAATGCATATTCTTGAATATTATACAGTCTCAATTATAATAGCCTATGATTGGAACGTAAGCTTCACAAATTATTGAGCTATGGCATAATGGAACATGGGTTTGGACGCAGATCGAAGTTTTTCGGAAACCACGTGAGCTATCCTCGCGCTGCGTCGCCACGCCAGTTCGCGGGTGCGTTCGTGATTACTATCTACGCGTACCTGAAATTATAAATTTGTTACATTAGTTTAGAAATTCTAAAATGTACATAGAGCACAGTTATTAACTATAAGCCCTAATAGCATCTAACCTTAAAAACAAATAGTAGACGATATAATTATAAAGAAAAACAAAAGTAGATTATACACTTTGTTTCATCAAATTTGTTTGTTTGATAGAAGAAGTAATAATCAAGTAATTGTAATTAATAAATTATAATATTATAGATAATATTAAGGTAATAACTTATATAAACTTTATACTGCGTTAATACTCGTACTATTATGCCAGTCGGGGTATGAAATGCATAAAACACAGTAAATCCCATAAAAGTTTATTGTTTTAGATGTCACTTTTTACTAAACTTACCTACTTGAGTAAGCACTTACGTACTTTTTATCCCAATGGAATATCAAAGATAATAAAATTGTATAAAAAATGTACTAAGTATAAACTAAGAAACGACTTATTAAATATTTTTTTAAGTAAAGATCTACCTGCTTTGGTTGAAGGACTTTGATGGAATGCAACGTAGCTACACCCTGGTTATTGACTCTAAGAGTGAGTTTTCCTGTCATCTCAGCTGTTGTAGCTGTCGCTGATTTTAGTTCCTTTTTAGCTCCTCTACCAACCTGTAAAGGCAAAATATATGTAAATCTTTATCAATTGTAATTTGTTAAGGGATCATCATCATTTCTTCTCCTAATGTTAGGCAAGCTTTATTGACAGTATCTATACTAATATCATTATACGAATTAAAGTAGTATCAGTATGTAAGTTTAACTTTATGCTTTCTAAAAAAGCTACTATATCGACTTTGACTTGTACCATTAGGTATATGTGTTTCTAATTTAGAAATATGCACTAGAACTGTCTAGGGAATGCTAAGAAGGTAAAACTTTTTTACTATTAATTAAATGGAATAAGTAGGTATAACCATATAACTTTTTTAAGGAATATATTTATACCTCTTTCTCTACTCTCAAAATAAGCGGTCCTATTGCAAAGTTACTCTTGACTGTTGTGTGATCCGACATAATGCTGACTGCAACATCGTCAGTTCTCTTCAACGTCGACAGACCGTATAGTGTTCCTTTAGCTCTGGGTTTATTTTTTTCACTTTGTGTTTTTGTCTTGTTCTTATTAACTGGTTTCTTTGCTGTCGTTTTTGTTGGTGGTTTTGGTTTAGGTTTGGGTTTCGATGCCTTTACGGGAGGCTTCGTTCTAATTGTAGTAGGTTTGGCCTTTTCAAGTTTTTCCTTAACTGCTCTAGACTCTGGGGTCACGTTTTGTGTCTTTTCAATTATTCCATTGTTAATTTCAGCTACAGTAACTTGGTCGTCTTCAAATTTCTTGACAGTAGCCACTTCAGGGTTTTCAGTTTGGAGCATTTCCAATTTTTCTTTCGTCTTTTCAGCGGCGCCGGCACGAGCATTGTTCTTTTTCTTATGTGTTGACTTCCTAAAGACACACAACATACATTGATAAACTGAGAATATAACCCAAATATAATAGGGACAACGCAAGGACAATAATATTAAAAGTAACATATATGTGATAGTAAAAATCAGAACAGAATGAGTCCAAAGCAATCTGTATATTTTTAAAATTCTTTATTTGAAGTATAATATTCCATTCAGATAAATAAATACCAAAATAAGTTTCACTTCGTTTTTTTATATCTAAGTATTTATGTAGATTAAACCAACATCTAGCTGTTGTTCACTAATCGTAAATATTATAATGAATCCTTAAGGCAGATAACTTATGAATAAATTGGAAATTAACCAATATACCTAGTAAAAAATATCTAACTTAATAAAACATATATTATCCATTGTCATTCTCTATTTCACAAAATTAAACGGATAAACAGATAAAAGTACATCGAGCAACTTTGTTTTGACTACAAATTTAGAGATAGTTAATTTTTTATTCAAGGTATTTAGCATATTGTTATGTGCTATAAATATAAAATGTCAAACTTACCTTTTATTAGTTTTTTTCTTATTCTTATTTTTGTCCTTTGGCTTTGAGCTTTTCTTGTTAGCGTCGATCGGCTGAAGCTTAACACTGACAGGGTCATAAGACTTTCTTAGTATATCATTCATCTTCTCCAATATGTTGTCGACAAATCTGTTGTACTTGACTATGTACATTGCAGGCACCGGCGTTGGTTTTTTAGTTGGCTCGTTGGATAGAGCTCCTGTGATAATTAATATTTTTTTATGAATATGTATTGTTCGAGGTACTTCGACGCAGCTTGATACTTATTATTTACCGTTGTTACTCAACTGTAAGTGGCTCGGAAATCAGTCAAGTCTAAAATGTAATGGAGTTAATATTCAATTCACTAGAATAGTTTGAAGACTATTTAATAAGCTGAGGAGAGAGTATAGTTTTTAAAAATATATCTATAATTATCAAAAATATCTCGCAGTTAAATATATATAATAGAATAAAAATTTAATATTTTATCATTATTTTTGCAGTACATTTTTCAATAATATATATATATATTTGATAATCTCTTAGAATATATACCAATAGGTATGTGTTTGGTTGTGTGTATATGTATACCATCATTAGCTAGTTCCTAGTAAACACATAATTGAGCCGTGAAGGGTAGTTTGTGGATACTTATATTAAATTATTACGTTTCCAAAATGATGCTTATTTGGGAGTCGAATAATATGGTAGACCTAGACCCAAATAATTAATTTTCTAATTAATGACTGTTATTTATTACTTATGTCAGCACTTGAAACCAGGTATAAATTACTACTTAATGATTTTTCATCGAATATAGGAATACAGTTCGTCCAGCCTAGTAGGAGATTATGTGGAAAAACTTATTTAGTTACTTTGAGTCATGATACCTGATTTATCAATATTATATCAAATTAGATGTTATATTACTTTTTTAATTCCAGTACGATTAGCATGTGTGAAACCACAAATATTCTTATATACAAATATTCACAATTCAGTTCGAAAACCGGACCACCACTATGTACTGGAAGAGTTACGACCTCCTCTATTAGTAGTCCAGATTACGACATATCTGGATAAAACAGGAAGAAGGTGCAGTTATCTGGATGCATTATATAAAAATAGCCTTCTTCCTGCAAACCCTGAGTAGAAAAGAACATTGGTAATAACAGTCAGATAAAATTTGCCATAAAAGTACTTTGAACTATTTTAACATCTTAAGTTAAAACAACTTGTGCCAACTTTTTTCGCTAAAAGAAACTCATTAAATATTTTTATGATGACTACCAAATAGAGAGTTGTCTGTAATGAAAATTTCTCTTTCGTCGAACGTGAAATAACTTTTAATTAATTAATCAGTGACTGTTCCAATTCATGGTATCGAAGCGACATAATATAATTATATAGCATTGCAATTCAATCGAATATTAAAGATTCAAAACACGTCGATGTGGCACGCGAACTAACTGTATCGGTCTCATGTAACCGCAGTTGAATGCTAATACACGCTCACAATTAATACGTCCACTCAACGGTGGATTTTCTATTTTCCACGGGCTAAAGAAACGCGTGCCGAGTCGCAAACATTCGAAGAAATCTAATGACAGCGTACAATTCCTACATAAAATATATCCTTAAAATAAGTTATGTAGCATATTTATTTTAAATCTCCGCAGCAATTAACGAGTGTTTCAATCTACCTATTTATGTTACATGTACTTGTCGCGAAATCCGAGATATATTTAAGCGAAATACTACTGCAATATAATATATTTTCAGTATAATAATCACACACTTTTTTAGAACTAGAGGTAGAAGATAGCTGTTAGACAAAACTAACGCATACTGCGTATATAAAAAGTTATTAATTTTAATATATATATGTAGAGTTGATATTCTCATCATATCATTGTTCCATTAGAGAAAGATTTTAAAAGATTACATAATTTACACAGGAATGTAAAAGAGAGTTCCGTGCGGATAACGTTTCGAGGGTTTTTCTAGTAATTAAAAATTTGTTTTTAGTAATGTTGAATCATTATTGTTCATGACATTCAGTGCATCAGTTTACGCTTCGTTGGCATCTCTAGTGTAAGCATTGTGGTATAATTATTTTGTGTTACTTATGCATCATCTATTTTTATTTTTTATGTGAAAGGAAGCAAATACCGCCAGAACGGGCAAGTGCGCCGGCATACATTAACTACCTACTATGTATTACCGGCAACAAACGAGTTCCATGTGGGTCGAATATGACTCCTCGCGACTCTCCCAGCATTTCACGACGACAAACATTTTAAGTTTCTCTTTTCGCATCTCATTACCTCGTTTTCACTAAGCCGGACGTTGGACACGCAAATTTAGTGGTAAATTCGTCATCAAGTGAGAGTAAACATCTCATGCGATTTACTTTCTATCGGATTCTATCGAAATACGATGGTAAAATTCGTCAAGGTCATCGCTGGGTGCAGCGGAAGCAAGGTCAAAGAAAGTGTCAAGGTTGCAGAAGAAATCGGGCGGGTTCATCGAACGGACAGTGGTCGAGAAAGTAAGCGGCTGCCGCGATAGTAGCCGACCTCGTAACATACATGCATGCCGGACTACTGGAACCACCCGCCGAGCTGCGCCTGCATCCTGCACCCATGTACATATATAGATAGCTATCTTCACCCACTTATAATCTATTAATTAAATCTTGTCTACTCACGATTTCTCTGATGGGATGAGGAAAAGGATTAGAGATTAGATGTGCGTTAGATGATAATATATAGATAAATCGGTCAAAAGGCTAGTTAAATATATCTACAGTTTAATTTTTACAAATATAATAAAATAAATATTATATAACGTTACTACTGAATTAGATAATTTAAAAATAAATGCATAATAATAATAGTTTAAGCCTATAAATATAAACAAATATAATACTAATGGATAAGGGTAAAAGGGCATTTATAAATACTTTACACTGACTAGTCATTTATTTTACAATAAAAATTAAATTAATATCACTAGATAATGTCACTCGATAAGCTGACAAAGAAATTAACTAAGAGGCAACTAGTATTCTGACCGATGTTATTTTGTTTTTAGTTATCATATACTAGTTTATAGTACGCACAAGTCATCTCGAAGGAAAGATAAAAAATTTCACACAACAAATTAGAACAACAGATTTATTTCAAATAAATTGCCACGAGACCAATGTGACATGATCTAGACATTAATTTAACTTAAACTTTTTTCGTTTTCGTACTTACACGTTCACACTTCATTCACTCGCACTTAATAAATAAAATAAATTAAATAGAATAAATAAATAGTCAATAAATAGTTAAGCTAAAGGAGGGGACCACAGGGTCTCTCAGGTGGATTTGGTGACGTGACTTGGCCATGGCTTTCGACGCCGCCTACTCACTATCTGAACTTTTTATGTTCTGAGGCGGTGGCCGCGGCGAATGTCGCTTTGGTTTTCTTAATTTTGCTGATGTGACTCGCTTTTTTTCCAGTCTTTTTTGCATGCGCCGCGACGCTCGCCTTCAACTTTTTAGACTCACGTGGATGCTTAGCGGAGATATTCCTTCCAAGGGCGTCTGTGAGGTCATCTTCGTCATCATCATCATCTTCTTCTTCTTCGTCATCTTCGTCATCTTCAGGGTCAAGGGCATCAGCGATATCGTCCTCTTCATCGTCGTCTTCCTCGGCTTCAGCATCAGCAGCGGCTTCAGCCGGAGCTTCCGCCTCAGCGCTAGCGGGTTCTTTTTGTCCTCCTTCTAATTCATCACTATCTGTAGCAGCTTCTGGTTCCGTTGCTTCTGCATCTTCAGCGGCAGCAGCAACTTCATCAACAGCGGGTGCGGGCGCAGCGGCTACTGTGTCACTTGGGGCGACCACTGGTTGTACCACACCGGTGTCGTCATCGTCGTCGTCATCGTCTTCGCCTAATCAAAAATACATATTATATTAAAATAATTGTGTAAAATAAATATTGCTTATTTTTAAACATGAAAACTGAAAACCAGAAAAGTAGTGACCATTATTACTAAGATTAGATGTTATTTTAAAATTACCTCCTAAGATGTCATCGAAGAATCTTTCCAAATAATCATCATCGTCGTCATCATCTGCCTCATCATCTTCTTCTTCATCATCATCATCGTCGTCATCATCATCATCTCCTGCGTAAAAAAAGAAAATTTATTTCATGTTATAATCACAATTTAGCAAAATATTATCCACATGTAACTTCAAAACTATATTAAAATACTTATATTTTACAGCTATAATAGAAACCTATCGTATTAGAGTATTGTCAATATGAGGACGGCTTATTAACACTATTATCGGTACCTAAACGCAAATAAACTGTTAAACAAACAGTTAAGCAGTACATACACGCGCGGCGCTCTGGTGCGTGACGTTCCTGATCGCCGAGGCTTTCGTCTAGAAAGCAGGGGAGCGTCATTTTCTCTGATTGAGTCTGTTTGAATTAATTAACGATTGAGAGCGCTTGTCACGCTGTCCGCTTCACATTCCGCTTCACATTAGCCCCACTACGTCCTGGTTCTTAGGAATGTACATCGATCAAATGTAACACTTTCGACTATGTATTCGGAAATAAGATTCTGACCACATATAATGGTCTACCTAATATCCTGTATATTCTTATATTGTTATTATATAATATTATCTTTTCATTATAATTTGTACCCATAAAATTACTTTTTTATTGAAAATACTTTAAACAGTCTCTCAGTGGATATGATCACTTTAAGTTGTGATTGAACATCATAAAATATTTCATTCAATACAAGCACAATCATACAGCAATCGCTATAAATCGATATTACTCCTTTTATGTCAATTTATTGCTATTTATGAGGCAATTACCTAGCTATGCTAATAGTTTATATATTTCTCAATCGTATTAGCAATATAGGAATAAGTATAGAGAAATAATGCAGAATATTAGTCTTGTGCAGTGAATGAACCGTAGATATAGCCCCTCTGAATACATGATGTCTACCGTTAGACCTACACATTAACGGTAAAAAATAACTAGAAGAGATGAAAATAGACAAATAGTACTACCACTTATCAAACACTATCTGCAGATTTAACTGTAAATGAATTCTGCTGTAATATAATAAAAATCAAAACTATGTTAATTTTGAAAAATAAATGATTTTTAATAATGTTTCATAACGCGAAAACTTCAAGTAAACATATATTTAAGAAAATAATCATATTTAAAAAAAAAATACTTTCTTATACTAAACTTTGTAGTACGAGGTATCGGCAAATGAATATATTTGAAAAGTTTTACCCACCTGCAAGAGCATCATCGAGGTCTATATCGTCGTCATCATCATCATCATCGTCATCATCGTCATCGTCATCGGCAGATGCAGCAGGAGCGGCGGGAGCAGCTGCAGCCGCTGCCGCTTGTCTACTCACTTCCTTATCCTGCTCCTCTGACCTCACAATGGGGCTTGCCCATGCCGACAACACTAAACAGCAGATCGCCGCTAACAAGAATAACGACCTCATCTCGTATCTGAAACAAACATCACTTTTAATGAACACGAACTGCATCTGGATCGCGACAGTGCCAATCCACATCACTGTGACCACGATCACATCACTATCACACACATATGCACGTGCACTAGTCCACTTCACCTTTTGTCGAACTGTCACTCGAGTCCGGCGGAAGAGATCCGCCCGCGTCCTTCTGTACCGGTGCTAGGGACGCTCTGGCCGTGCTTGGCGAACGGAAACGTTATAGCGGCGGCGTTTTCAACGCGCACTCTTTTATAGAGTTACGTCACATGCAGGGAAGAAAGTAGTGATGGTAGTCGCAATAGCCAAAGATTACCGATCATGCAGAGAGTTGGACGAGATAATATTAATTCAAAATATTACTTTTGGTTTTTTAAAATATTAAAATATCATGAAGTAGAACTACCATTCATAAAATTTTACTAAATTAATAAAAGGAATAGTAAAACAGAATATATAATACAAATCATAGAAGGATACATGATATACCCGCAGATTTTCACTGACTATTATGATCACAGAAGATAGATTTTTTATACCACGAGGATACCAAAAGAAATATATTGTATTACCTGTAAAAATCATGAGTCTGTGGAACCGACCCGCAGGAGATGATACACATCTCTTGTTTCACAAACTATGAGACTAACAAATATAACTCATGTTTCAAAGAATCAATTACAAGTGTGTTATTTGATTCTTTTTAACCGGATATAGTATTATATATAAATAAAGAAATACTAATGTCCAATTAAAAGACGACGATACTATTTTAAGCTATAGAATAGTATCATCCTTTGCTATAAATCAACAACGATAGAAAGAAAGAAATCATTAAAATTATTTTTACAGTTATTGTACTCTTTTTACTATTGATATTATAATTGGACAGTACTTACGGTATTATTACTATTATGGTAATATAATTGAAATATTATTACTATTCCATTATATGTTACTGTCTCTGTGATCAACTTCCTTAGTCTTTAAAATTCAAACCTTTCTCAACAATTTTTATTCTATCTTTCTTTGCTTAGCAACCTATGTAGTTTCCATGTTTGTTATAATTGTAACTCGATTTGAGTCTTGTTAGACTAATACATGTATTTATACTAAATAATATAACATTCTGATATATCTTGATATTTTAACTATTCTTCTGAGTAAAGAAATCGTTTAAAAATACATAAGTTACGAAAGTGGTTTTTTATATCTTCTAGGAATCTGTCAACGCCACTTATACCAATATACTTATTGCAACTTTTAATACGTGATATTTTGCAACATTATGTTTTCCCACAAATTTACGTAGTAGAATACCGTAGCTTTCTTTAAATAAAAAGAGTAATTTATAGAATATTTTATTTGTCTATGATATTTTTGATCATTTTCACAGGATTATCTTTCATGGTAAATAATAGTTAGAACCTCTGAACTAAATTTAAAGATTTTTAAAAATAGAAAGTTCCGCCATTCTCGAATAGTCTAGGATATTAATATACTTTAATGAAATTTCGGATAAACAGATTAAAATAAACTATACCTCCTTATACAGGTAGGTCATGTTACTTTTAAATTTTAGTTTTTGTAAAATATTATATGTTAGACATATATAATAATAATTAGAATTCATAATCTATGATCGAAAAGGGGTTGGTTCAGAGTGACACATTAATTTATTCAACTTATTTACTGACTGGCCATGTCTTCACAGAGAAATGTGTGAGCATTGTATGTGTGAAGTTAGAATCTTAAAATATTTTGAACATTAGTATGAGGAGACCGGCCCCATACTTTCACTTAAGGTTATGTATGTAAACGGGCTCTAAGTGTAATTGATAATGTGACGTAAATACTAGCAATTATGTATCGGTTGTCAAGGCTTGCCCTCGGGTTCTCAAACTATTGCAATACAGGTTATGTTATTCTCCTATTTATAAAAAAAAACTGACAGAGAATCAAGACAATAATGTAGCCTACATATGCTCAATTGTTAATATATTTTAATATTTTTTCAAATATATTACATTTATGTTATATGTATGTATGTATGTATATAAAAATTACGTTATAAATTTACTATCTTGGGAAACTTATCTTCCGGTGAGCACATGGAAATGTTTTTTAAGAATCCTTTTATTCCATCTATAAATAAAGTAACATGTTCTTTGTAAAAATCTACGGTAGATAGATTTGTCATAATAATATTCGTAATTATTAGAATATAATTTTGCTTTTTTAATTTTAGGTTATAAGTATATACTTTAACTATTTCTATAATGGTTATTTATATCATTACATTTTTTTTTTAAATCGCAAGTAATTTATTACAGTACCATAATACATTCAGACCGAAATGTGTTTATATTTGTTTAGAACACAGGCACTTAATAATTATTATAGTTTTATTTCTAAATATAGGTATATGATACACTTTGGTATACTTTAAAAATAGTTTTAGCTAACCTCAATCGTCACATACTAGTGAAATCAATGTTTCATTTCATTAGTATAAGTGCATCGTTAAAGTAAATTAATAATTGCTAATAATTCAAAAATATAATCAGATTACTGAAATTTCAATAATATTTTATCATTTGTACTTCAATTATTGGCCTTCAAAGACTTTAATCTTTACTTATAAAGCAGATAAGATAAATTTAAAGTCGACAAAGAAATTTAAAAAAAGTCTATTTCGGTCTCTATGTCTATAGGTAGTTTGACATCGCGACTCTTCAACCAAACCTAGAAAGGTCTAAACCCGTTTTTGGTATTGTAGGCGTCCACAAATATTTGTATGCGGCTTGTGAATGGACCTCGAGGACTTTCTCTCGCTCAAACCGATACACTCACACTTATAAAGAAACTTGTGTACACATGCTATTCATGTTGCAGTTAATTGTTGAAATATTCAAGATTCAGTTATTTTCAACATACATAAAATATGTAGTAGATATTTTAATTATGAGATAAAATATAGAATCGGATTTGGAAAATTCTTTTGTTCTTATAAAAAATATGAATATAATTATTAAAAACTTGAAAAGATGCAATTTCTTTGCCTTATATTTATTTATTGTTAATGTGTCTGTAATAGGTTTTACTTTTAATTTTTATTGTACAATAAAATGTTACTGCCTCGATGGTTTATCGGTTTAACACATCGGTTTTTTTTCTGATAGTAGCGTGTTCAAATCTTTAAATAGTGCAAGCAAGCATTTCTATACATGAGTATGATTGTTTGTATTGGTCCGAATGTTTTCTATGTATATAATGTATCTATTTACAAAAATAATGTATTTAAATATGTTGTCGAATACCCATAATATAAGCTCTTCATTACAGTGAATAAAAAAAAATAGCTAAATGTATACACATAGACTGTTCAATTCCGTAGTCATTAATGTAAATATCACAGCTATTACCCACAACGTTGCTTTTTTCTAAAATAAATTTACTTTTGTCATAACTAGTGTATAAACAATATCGAAAATTGGAATGCATATAATATTGTACAATAAGCACTGAAAAAAATGAAGGTTAAAGCACAATACCTGCGATATATTCATGATTGAAATGTAATTAATAAAATACATGTATTTTATTTCCTCACCATGAGAGCCTCGTATACGGCAGCAAAATTATGAGTGGTTCAGGTAGGTAGCAAAATTAATTTACTGATGTGTGATCAGTTTATAAAGCATGAAAAATGTTTATACTTATAAAGTACATACAATATATTTTTTAATCATCTTTCAGACATATTTTATATATCCTTATTTATATTTTTACCTGTAACAACAGCACACATTGATAGACCGACCATAAATACAAACACTTCCAAATCGCGCACTTGTTCCGAAGTAAGGTCAATGTATTCGCATAAAGGAGACAGTTACTCCATATTTACAGTTGACAAATTCCGGACTTTTTAGTATCTGCACCTATTTAATCTTAAATACTCTTTCGAAATTGATTTTTAACCACAAAAAATCAAACGGAATGTGTAATTAATTCAAATTAGCCGACAGCGAATAAGGGTCACCGTATATGCCTAAAATAAAATTCTGTAAACCATTATAAATGTTAACTCTCTAATTTAATACCTTTTGAATATCAAACTTTCATTTAAATGAAATTTCTAAAATCTTAATGCCAATATAAATGTGTTTAAAAATTTTTCACGGTAAGTCAGTTAACGAAACTTTATAATTACCAAAAATGGGGTATATATACCTAAGGGATAATTTAGAGAGCTTCTGTTCTATGGTAAGTTCATTCCTTTAGTTCTGCTCGTCAATAGAATCGACCCGCGAGCCAGCAACTATCATGGTTGGCCCACAAACGCGACCGGTTGTCGGTACTTTCTTCGGTCGTTCTCACTTCCGCCTGCGCGCCTCCACGCAACCGGCACGGCAGGACTCGGTGTTACACATGCAAGGATACAGGTTCAGAACCTACTTACCTAATTCCGTACAATTAGCGACGGATACAACCTGTCTTTGCAATACCTTTTTCGTAAATAATAAGAGAAATATGGACATACATTTGATATCGTAGCTAATTAAATATTTTAAATAGCGTTTACTTCCATTCGCGTTGTATTCGCGCTGTAATGATTTTTTGCGAAATCAAAAAGCATTTCGATTGTTTTATTATAATTTATAAGAATTATTCCCATGTTAACACTTTAGAAATTTAATACAAACCTTTAAACATGGAATAGATGTCAATAAGTTGTGCATGTTTTTAAAGCCAGTTCTTAAAATATTACCTGGATAATATTACTAGTAGTATTAATTAAAATTATAATTTAAATAGAATGAAATGTGTACATTGCTTCTTTTACTGTATATCTTTTAATTTTTCTTATGTGAACTGGTGCAAGACAATAATTAACATTATAATATCATGAGAAGTAACAAACTTTATACATAATAAACGTAACTGTCTATGAATTAAGAAGTTTATTATATTTTCGGTCTGTTTAACATTATACAGTACCATATAAATAGTTCTAGAAAATTAGGTGTTATTAACTGTATATACGCAAGCACGAATTAATTTACCTAATTATATTTTTAGTATTAAAATTCACTATGCATTTCAAAAGTTTACTTGATTTTAGTAGTAAGTTTACTATTGTTCAGATAGTTTTGTCCAATATCATAGCATTTCAGACTATTTCGACTTACTAGAAATAGATACTG